TAGGCCGGGGATTTAGCTCAGTGGTTCTGACGCCTGCCTCACAAGCTCAAGGTCCCGAGTTCAATCCCCAGTACCAAAAAAAAAAAAAAAGATCGAAATATTAAGACAGAAACAATAAACTTGCTGGAAAATAAGTAGGTAGAACTCTTGAAGACACTGGCATAGGAAAAGACTTTATGAACAAAACCTCAGTAACACGGGAACTAGCACAAAGAATCAACAACTGTGATTTCATACTATTAAAAAGCTTCTGCACTGCAAGAGAAACCACCAACAGAACTAAGAGACAACCTACAATGTGGGAAAAAATTTTTATCGCTGTTCCTCAGATAAAAGACTACTGTCTAGAATATATAAAGAACTTTAAAAAATCAGACCCCCCCCAAATATAAAGACCCAATTCAAAAATGGGTATCTGAAATGAACAGACATTTTTCAGACAAAGCAGTAAAAGCAGCAAAAAAACATAATGAAAAAATGTTCAACATCGCTGGTCATTTGAGAGTTGCAGATGAAAACAATGCTGAGATTTCACCTCATCCAGAAAGAATGGCTGCTATCAAGAAATCAACCAATAACAAATGTTGGCAGGGGTGTGGGGAGAAAGGAACCCTTCTCCATTGTTGGTGGGAGTACAGACTGGTGCAACCACAGTGAAAATCAATATGGAGATGCCTCAAAAAACTAGGATTAGAGCCAGAGATTTAGCTCAGTGGTTTCACCGCCTGCTGCGCAAGCACAAGGACCCGGGTTCAATCCCCAGTACCAAAAAAACTAGGATTAGAGGTCCCATTTGACCCAGCTATTCCTCTCCTGGGTATCTTCCCAAAAGAATTAAAAGAATCACACCACAGTGATATATGTGCACCCATGTTTATAACAGCACAGTTTGTATAGCGAAAGCTTGGAAACAGCCCAAGTGCCCATCAACTGGAAACTGGATAAAGAAGATGTGATTTTTTTTTAATAAAATGGAGTACTACTCAGCCATAAAGAATGAGAAACTAGAGACATTTATAGCTACATGGGTGCACATTGAGGCGATACTCTTAAGTGAAATAAATAGGACACATGTGTAAATATTGAATAGTTTCTCTAGTGTGAGAAGCTGAAAGTGTAAATAAAGATCAAAATGTATAACTGATAATGTGAAATTGAAAATAAAGGTCTAAAGGGGTAGGGGAAAGGAAAGAAGGGAAAGGAAAAAATATGAGAAAAGGAAAAAATGTAAACAAAGTCTTTGTAAATAGAGAGGGGTGGAGGGGTTCAAGGGAGAGCAGAGGAATGGGGAAAAAATAAGAACCAAGATACATCATATACAGGTACAAGTTCCCAAGAATGAATGTAACTGTATTGTATACCTAAAATGTACCAATAAACTTTACGGAAAAAAAAAGAAAGAAAGAAAATGGCTATACTTCCAAAATTGTTATACAGCTATAATGTATTCCCAATCAAAATTCCAAAGCATATCTCATAGAATTAGAAAAAAACAATCCTAAAATTCATTTGGAAACAGAAGAGACCTAGAATAGTAAAGGCACTTCTGGGTAACAAAGGCAAGGCAGGGGGTATCGCAATTCCTGACTTGAAATCATACTACAAAACTACTGTAATAAAAACAGCACAGTACTAGCAAAAAAAAAAACAGACCTGCAGATCAATGAAAGAGATAGGAAGATGCAGAAACAACTCCAAACATACTCAGCCACCTTATCTTTGACAAAGGAGCCAAACACCTTCACTGGAAGAAAGATAGCCTCTTTAATAAATGGTGCTGGAAAAACTGGCTTTCCACTTGCCAGAGATTAAAACTAGACCCATATCAGAGCTGAGAATTTAGCTTACTGGTTCCACCTCCTGCCTCGCAAGTGCAAGGTCCCAATTTCTATTCCTGGTACCAAAAAAAAAAAAAAAAACTAAATCCATATCTTTCACCATGCACTAAACTAAGTTTGAAATGGACCAAATATCTCAGTATTAAAACAGAAACAATCTGCTGGAAGATAGAATAGGTAGAACTCTCAAAGACACTGGTATTAGGAAAGACTTTATGAACAAAACCTCATTACACAGGAACTATCACAAAGAATCAACACCAAGATCTCATCTTATTTAAAAAGCTTTTACACAGCAAGAGAAACCACCAACAGAGTGAAGAGAAAACCCATAGTGTGGGAAAAAACTTTTGCCAGCTGTTCCTCAAAGGACTACTATCTAGAATATATAAAGAACTCAAAAAAATACCCCCTCCCCAATTTAAAGACCCAATCCAAAAATGGACTTCTAAATGAATAGACGCTTCTCAGATGAAGAAGTAGAAATGGTAAATACATATATATGAAAAAATGTTCAACATCACTGGTCATTCGAGAGATGCAAATTAAAATAACGCTGAGATTCTGTCTCCAGAAAGAATGACTATCATCAAGAAATCATCCAATAACAAAGGCTGTCAGGGGTGTGGGGGACAAGGAACCCTTTGTCACTATCGGTGGGAGTGTAGACTGGTGCAATCACTGTGGAGATTACTCTAAAAACTAAAACTAGAGGTTCCATTTGACCCAGGTATTCCCCTTCTTAATATTTTCCTGAAAGAATTAAAAGCATCATACCACAACAATATATGCACACCCATGTTTATAGCAGCACAATTTGAAATAGCTAAATCTTGGAAACAGCCCAAATGCCCATAAGCTGATAAATAGATAAAGAAGATATAGGGTTTTTATACAATGGAGTACTACTCTGCCAGAAAGAATGGAGCACCTTGAGACCATATTCTTAAGTGAAACAAATCAGACACACATGTTTAAATATCACATTGTTTCTCTGGTGTGAGAAACCGAAAGTGTAAATAAGGGCCAAAATGCATAACAGACATGGAAGCAGGAAGAAAATATTCAGATGAGAAGGGGAACAACGGAGTGGGAAGGAAGAAAAGAAGGGACAAGAAAAAAAAGAATAGAAGAAAAAAATGGAAACTAAGTTTTTGTAAATAAGGAGGGGGAAAGGTGTTGAAGGGAGGGGAGAGGAAAGGGGGAAAAAGAAAACAGAAGCAAGATGTATCATGTATGGGGGTACAAATTCCCTATGATGGGCCAGGGATGTAGCTCAGTGGCGCCACACCTCCCTGGCAAGCACAAGGTCCTAAGTTCTATCCCCTGTACAGAGGGGGAAAAAAAAGGAAGAAAGAAAGAAAGAAAAAAAAATTCCCTATGATGAATGTGATCTTTATGTGTATCTAAAATGTACCAATAAAAAAAGAAAAAACCCAAAAACTGAAGAAAATAAAAGTTAAAATTAAAAGAAATGTAAATATTTTCTTATTAAATTTTTTTTCTTACCAGGGATCAAATATACTTAAAATAATAATAAATACTTAAATAATAATAAATACTTAAAATAATAAACCTTTACATACTAACATAAGTATTGGGGTTTTTTTTGTTTTTTAACTGCATTTTTACAAAACAAAAACATTAGTAAAAAGGACAGTGTTGTTTTCCATTCTAGCAAATCTCCTTCACATGTGAGAAGACACTGGACACCCATGCACTCTACATTCAGCATGTCATCATATCACACATCACAGAGCATCTAGAGAACTACACTGGATGTTTGTGAATGACCCTGAGAAAAGCAAATCATGTATCAGTGCAATGATGAAAACAGCTCTCACTTCAGGAACTCTCTAAGGAACCCGTAGGCCCCACTTTGAGAACCGCTGCACTAAACCAGGGGTTATCTGAGACAAGCCAACTGCCAGCTCAGTTGGTGCAGCACCCGGCCAGGCCTAGAACCCGCAGCCTTCCAGTGAATGATCACAGCTCACAGGCCAAGAGATGGGGCCCCAGCTCAGTCCCCAGAGCTCAGCACAAGGCCTCTCTGCTGCAGACTCTGGCCTGGGCTCTTCCTGAGGCAAGGAACCCAGCTTGGGCTGAACCAGCTAAATGGGAAGTACCCGGTGGCCAGGGGGCATCTTGTCTCCTTCAAGAGTACCCACAACTACCAAAAGTATCTTCCTTGAAGACCAAGCTCTGCTAGGCTCCACTCCGTCCAGGTAAGGAGGTTCAACCCAGGACTTTTACACTGAGCTACATCCCCAGCCCTTTTTCTATTTTTTATTCTGAGACAGGGTCTACTAAATTGCTAAGTTGCCTGGGCCTGGGTTTGAAATTTCAATTCTCCTGCATCAGCCTCCCAAAGTATTAGGATAACAGACATGCATCCTTATGCCCACCTTTAGGTTCAACTCTTGGTTGTGTGACCTTGGAAAAGCAACTTAACCTCTCGGGGTCTTAGCACTATCATTTGTAAAATGGTTATGATACCTCATAGAGTTATGAAAGGAGATAAACTGCACAAAAGAACTCCTGCCCAAGCCCGAAAACCTAACAGACGTTCTACAAATAACAGCAAGAGGTCTTATGCTGCCTCCATACCCTCTGCCCTGCTCGACTCTCAGCCTGAGGATGGCCAACTCAAAACAGATTAGCAATCCCTTTCCTTTCTCCCTAAGGACAGCTGAGCCAGGCTGAGATTTCCGAGAGGTCATCACCCATGGAGAAACAGGCATGAAGTGATCTCATCTGCAGTGAAGGCTTTCTGCCTTGTAACAGCAGACAGTAGGGACAGCCAGGCTCTTCACTCACTCTGTCCAATGTCTTGGGCACCTTCTCTTCTCTGTCCTTACTCCTGCAGGCTTAGAGATCCTAGGGATGGATACCAAACCCCTGAATCTCACTCATTGCTCTTCCTATAATGGCTTCTTTTTTTTCCGGGTCACACAGTTCACACAGGCTTGGCTAATGCCCCCTTCACCCAGATGAAGAGGACCACTGGGCAGCTGGCTTTGTCCAAGGCCCTTAAGATGCACAGACCTCAGCGCACAGACCCTACAACAAGCTTCTCTCTCTTTCTCACACTACCTCAGGCTCCCTGATACCTGCAAAGCAACCTCATGTTCTCCTCCCTCCCAGCACCCCCAGAAGCTCTCTCAGTACCTTGGGTGAGGAAGAAGGGAGTGACAAGCTCCCCTGGTCCCTTCCCCCTCACAGCCACTGCCTGTGCCTTTAAGAACTGCCACCCAGTGCCAGAATCTTAACCTCAGCACCCTCAGCTGAGTTGGATTAAGGGACTATTTCGTGCTTTTATGAATTCTTTCTGGCTGCTACCCTTCCTCCACACAGAAACAGAGTGGCAAGGAGCCCCAACAGGTCTGCAGAGGGTAGGCCTTTCCCTTCGGGAGTAGCTCCTTTGTGACCAGGGAGTGGGCCCTTGGGGGTCTTGGACTGTCACTGAAACTCCAGAGAGCCATGCAGAGCCCTTGGCCATGAAGAACTCAGATGTAATCCTCTGCACAGAGGTGACAGAATTGAGCAAGGTAAGGGCCACACAGAACCACTGTCCCAAGACCCAGTGTCCCCAGTAGACACACTTGCCCTCAGCTCTCAATCTTCTACCCCCCAGACTGAGTTCTGCAATCCTGCTTTCGAGCCCGAAGCAGGACCACCTTGTTCTCCTGCAGCCTTCCAGAAAGATGCTTGCAGCGTCCGAGCTGCCTGGCACGGTAACCATCTCAGGGGTGACCTGGGCATAGGATAGGGGCCCAGGAACTGAGGACAGTGTGAGGGATGCCCAAGGGAAGAGGCTCTCCAAAGCCCACCGTGCCTGCCCACAGGCCGGCGTCCCCAAAGGATGCAGCTGGACTGCCACTTCTCTTGGCTCTGCGTCTTCCTGCTCATCCTTCTGGTGCTCTTGCTGCTCGGGTTGCTGGTGGCCATCGTCCTGGTCCGTAAGTACCTGAGGGCTGCTGGGGAAGAGAACCTTAGACTAGGACTCCATGGCCATGAGCCACTCTCCCCATGCCCAGGGATCCAGCACCTCTGAATGCTGCTTCTCCATCCTCCTGCCCCCAGAGATGCAGGCTGTACCCCCATCTGGGGCCACCGAGAGCCCACGGCCCATCATCGGCACCACCCCTACCAGAACCACCACCACCTCCCCAGCAACTACACAGCAGCAGGAGGCAGGCATGAGCCCCCCACACCAGGCCTGTGAGTACTAAGGACTCCTCTTCCAGAGAACTCCTAAGATAGCAGCAGAAGGGAAGGATGCCAGAGAGAGACACAGTGGGGAAATAAATGACATCCTTCCTTTTGACCTCTGAACTCTTGCCCCTATCTCTGCAGTCTGTGGGGGCCTCCTTCCTGGCCCAAGAGGCTTCTTCAGCAGCCCCAACTACCCAGACCCTTACCCACCCAACACCCACTGTGTGTGGCATATCCAGGTGGCCACAGACCACACAATACAGCTCAAGATTGAAGCTCTCAGCATGGAAAGTGTGGCCTCCTGTCTTTTTGATCGCTTGGAGATCTCCCCAGAACCTGATGGCCCCCTCCTCAGGTGGGTTCCCCTACCTCGGGGAGATCCCTCACCCTTTCAGAAGGACAGAACCAGGAAGCTGCAGCAGAAAGGCTAGACTGGGCTCCTACTCTGCCACCACCTCACTGGGTGACCTAGGGAAGTACACGTCCCCTCTCTGACCTCAGTTTCCTAATCTGTAAAATTGAGCTCCTGCCTATCTTTCCTGTTAACAAGTGCTATAGGGCTAGATGTGCAGGGGGTGGGAAGATCCAAGCTCCCTAGGAAATTAAGGGAGCCTTTCTGACCATATTGACCCCACTCCAGGGGTTGGGTTGAGGAAACAGAGTCGCAGGCCCTAGGCAAGCTCCCCTCTGGCTGGCCCTGAGCTTGGGACCCCCTTCACTACTCCCAACCTGGCTTCTTTTTTTTCCTTTTGGTACTGGGGATGGAACTCACTACCTTGCACTTGCAAGGCAGGCACAGTGCCACTGAGCTAAATCCCCAGCCCTCAACCTGGCTTCTTCCAGGGTCTGTGGGAGGGTACCTCCTCCCACGCTCAACACCAATGCCAGCCACCTCCGGGTGGCCTTCGTCTCTGACAGCAGTGTAGAAGCATCTGGTTTCCAAGCCTGGTACCAGGCTGTAGCCCTTGGGCATGGTAAGTGACTTCCTGCCATCTCCCAGATGCCTGTGGCCTGTTTACTTCCTTCCCCTCCACCACTCCCAGTACTGCCAACTAGAGAGGAGACTGGGAGGTTTCTGATCCCAAATGCCCACCCTCAGGGAGTTGTGCCCAGGATGAGTTCTCCTGTGACCAGCTCATCTGTCTGCTACCTGAATCAGTGTGTGATGGTTTTGCCAACTGTGCAGATGGTAGTGACGAAGCCAACTGCAGTTCCAAGCTCTCTGGTATGGGCCCCACCTGGTGCAGGGAGGGTACCATCTTCAGGTATCTGATCCAGGTTTCAACTGGACTCCCAGCTCAGGTCCAGCCCCAAACCTCAGAGTTCCCAACAGCATTCCCTGCCTGGTCATTCTTTTGACCCAGAATTTGTATACCCATAGGCCTGGCCAAAACTCCTACCGCCAGCCCCACCAAGTGGAGGCCCAAGTCCTGGCCACTCACGAGCCCTTCCATTTCTCTACAGGGTGTGGGGGGAACCTGACTGGGCTCCAGGGCACCTTTTCTACTCCTAACCACCTGCAGCAGTACCCTCAGCAACAGGTAAGTGCAGTGCCTCAGGGGACTGCTGTGGCACACATGGAAATATCACAGCACCCAGGCTAGTGATGCAGGAACAGCATAGTAGATACTGCCTTGTACTTGGGAAGGTCGGAGATCAAGCAGGCCAGCAGGGAACATTATTAAGTATCTACTGTGTACCCAGTTACCCATGCTGGGTAACTCATCCATCTCTGAGACCAGAACTTCAAAGGGCCTTCCTACCTTAAGAGCCCCTGATGATGGGGTTAGGTGAGCAGTGGCCAGCTGGAGGCCCAGCTTGGGACAGGAGAAGGACCCCATGGAATTATTCCATCCGTGTCCCCCCCTCAGCTTTGTACCTGGCATATCTCAGTGCCTGCGGGACATGGCATAGAACTACAGTTCCTCAACTTAAGCCTGGATGCACAGGATGGGTGCAAGTTTGACTACGTGGAGGTGTATGAGGCCAGCAGTTCAGGAGCCCTCAGCCTCCTGGGCAGGTATGGAGCCAGGGAAGGGAGTAAGGCCAGCCCCATCCTCAGAAGTCTGACTTAATGGCCCTCTCTCCAGGAGGCCCTTCCATAATCCTCTCCCCGCCCAAATTCTGCCACCCTGTGGGGCCATTGAGACCTTCCCCACAAAGCCATCCTGATTTTTCCCATCTCAAGTGACTCAAGTGCTAACAGTTTAACATCTTCTCTACTGAATATGTGGGTCCCTCTCACCAGAAGCTAAGTTCCGTGAGTCAGTGACTATGTCTCTCCTCACCCCTGGACAGCTAGGCACCCAGCTCAAAGCCCCAGCATTTGGCCAGGGAGCCCATGCCCAGGACAACTCTCTGTTCTGGGCAGGTTCTGTGGAGCAGAGCCACCCTCCTGCCTCGTCTCCTCAAGCCAGGAACTGGCTGTGTTCTTCAGGACAGAACATGGCTTCAGCAATGGGGGCTTCTCAGCCAGCTACCGGGCATTGAATGCCACAGAGAGTAGGTGCCCCTGGGTGGGTGGGTGTGGGCAGCAGAGGAACAGAGATGGGCTCTGGACTTGGTCAAGGCACATGGAGGACAGTGGAGGAGAGGCATGTCCCAGGCTACCGCCATGCCCCCTGTGCCTACAGACCCCTGTGGGCCCAGAGAGTTCTTCTGCCAGGATGGAGGGTGTAGGGATCTGCAGTGGATTTGTGACTTGTGGAGAGGCTGTGCAGATGGCAGCAAGGACAACTGCAGCAGCCCCGTGTTTCCACCCCCAGGTGAGGAGCCTGCCCCTGACAACCCGAACAAGGCCCACGGGCCCAGGCAAACTGAATGTCCAACTCACAGAAACCCTGCCAAGCACACTGCCCAACATCCCCTGCCCTCCTCCCTGATTGGTCCAGGGAGCCAGCTGGACCTCACTTCTGACTCGGGGCCACTTCACAGAGTCCTAGAGAGACTTTCAGCTGGAGGGGCAGTGGTAATTAGTGTCACCTCAGAGTGACATGGGACTCTGGGAATCAATGATTGGGGCTTCTTACATACAGAGTCTCTCCACACCTCACTTCAGAGAGGAAGGTGAGATTTTTTTACCTGAAAAAAGAAAAAGATTCTTCCAGAACTTTCCCTGCATATGTGGGTGCTTCATGTTCCCTGAAATCAAAGAGGTTCCTTCATGACCCCCAGGGCTGGCGAATGATGCTTGGAGCAGGCTCATGAGGATGCAGCAGGTGTATACTGCATCTCTCCTTGCTATCTCCTCGGGTTCTCACAACCACTCTTGTCTGACCCAGTGACAGCAAGAGCCTAGAGCACTGAAGTGGCTCATCCCCACAGTGATCCTCCTCTCCCATCCCTGCAGTGCTGGTCTGTGAACCCATCCAGGTAGAGATGTGTACGGGTCTGAGCTACAACACCACAGCCTTCCCGAATATCTGGGTGGGCATGGCCACCCAGGATGAAGTGATCGATATCCTCAGAGGCTACAAGGTGCTGGAGCAGAGGCAGAGACCAGGAGGGAGGCCACAGAAAAGGGAGGGAGTCCGAGGAACAGGTAGCTGAGGCCAACCTCTTCCTCCTACAGAGCCTGACAAGTCTTCCCTGCTACCAGAATTTCCGGAGGCTCCTCTGTGGGTTGCTCGTGCCTCGCTGCACCCCACTAGGCAGCATCCTTCCCCCTTGCAGGTCTGTCTGCCACGAGGCAGAGCGCCAGTGTCAGTCTGGCCTGGCCCAACTGGGCACCCCTTGGCCCTTCAACTGCAACAGGCTGCCTGAGGCAGCTGGCCTGGAGACGTGTGCCCAGCCCTGACCTGAAGCCGGCCCTGTCCTCTGCCTGCCCGGCCTCCTTTGCCAATGCGGGTGGGCAGGGAGGGAGCAAAGGAAGAGGGACCTTTGCTGGGGACTCTGCACATCCCCCCCTAGGAGGCCCCAGGGAGGAGGAGGATGAGCCCCCACCCCCAGCTTAATGGAACGCTCCCACCCTCACCTCTTTCCTGCCCCTTTATTTGCCAGAGGGGCCATAGGGGCGCCATTGGACAATCTACAGTTTCCCATCGGAGTCTCTGACCCAGATTTCCCCTCTTCTGCCTTCCCCTTTTCCGTCTGCCTTTTCAAGTTCTGTCACCTGCGCTTCAGCTTTCACATTTAGTCACAAGCTGTAGTGAATGCCTACTGATGTGGCAGGCCCTGTTCTAAGCCTGGGTCCAGCTGGCTCTCTGCTGGTCCAGTTGTCCCCAGCTAGAGTCTTGTCCCTGGCCTCTGTCAGTGCACCATCTCTCCCTCCCGCCTCTGGGAATAGGAGGAGCCCTGAGTGTCTCACGGTTCAGCCTCTCTGTGCCCAGCTCAAGCCTTCCTCCCCCTCATCTCTCCCCCCAAATTTTGGCCGCCCGCCGGGCGACACCACGAGTTATTTCCCTGCTATTTCCCGGCCGGGAGCCCTGAACAACTGGTTTCCTCTGGAGTCTGGGAGGAACGGAGTCGGCAGGGAGCGAACCAGGGCAGCACCAGGGGAGGAGAAGGGGAGGGGGTGATCAGCTGGGGAGAAGTTCGGGGGCGGGAGCAGGACCAGCTGGAGGGTCCCGACAGGGCAGCGCCCCAAAGGAGGCCAATCGAGAGCTCCAGTAGCCGGGAGCCGGGCGGGGGTGAGTCTGGCGCAGGGGGTGGGGTGGAGTGGAGGAGGGGGCTGCGGGACTTCTGGGCGCCGGCTGGGTTGGGCAGGGAGTCAGGGCCGGCCTCTCCTTTCCCTCTGGCCTGTGCCCCCGGGCTCGGGGGTCTAAGGCGCCCATGGCTTCACCCCCTCGCGCGGCTGAATCGGCTTGGGATTCCAGGGAGTGGCAGGGGTGGGAACCGGCGGTGCTGCACCGGGGTGGGGAGCGAGGCGTCCCCGGGATTCTGGGTCCCGATTCCAGCCCTGCCCGCCCCACAGACTTCGAGAGGACTCTGGCGTTTGGGCTCCAGGTGCCAGTACCATGAGGCTGCTCTTCGCCCTGCTACTTCTGGGCCTGGCGTTCGGCTCGGCCCCGCTGGACGACAACAAGATCCCCAGCCTGTGCCGGGGACACCCCGGCCTTCCAGGCACGCCTGGCCACCACGGAAGCCAGGGCCTGCCCGGACGCGACGGACGCGACGGACGCGACGGTGCGCCTGGCGCTCCGGGAGAGAAAGGAGAGGGTGGGAGGCCGGGTAAGAAAGCACCTTCGACGCGGTCCCTGGAATCCCCGGTCCTCCTGCTCCAGTTCTCGGGTGGCCTCCGGGTTTGTAGGGTTCGGAGCTCCCGCCAGGGGGCGCTGCCCTCCCCCTTTCCCCTCCCCTCCATCCCACCATCCGAGGGGCACAGGCGAGATAGGGGGTGGGGAGTGACTCAGCCCGAACTCTGGGGACCCTCTTTGCCCAGCCCCCCAGATCTGTCCCAAGCCCTGTAGGAAGCGGGGACAAAGTACCTTGGAAGAGGGAGGCACTTACCCCAGGAGGTGGTGTCTGGGAGGGCTTAGAGACGACGGGAGGGGAGGGGGTTCTTGTGGAGGCGCCCTTCTCCACCCCGCTGTGCAGCGGCTCAGCGGCTCTCTGCACCCTCACCCTAACCGTGCCGTTCCCGCGCAGGACTGCCGGGGCCACGCGGGGAGCCCGGGCCGCGAGGAGAGGCGGGCCCCGTGGGGGCAGCTGGACCTGCCGGGGAGTGCTCCGTGCCCCCGCGCTCCGCCTTCAGCGCCAAGCGCTCGGAGAGCCGGGTGCCACCGCCGACAGACGCGCCCCTGCCCTTTGACCGCGTACTGGTGAACGAGCAGGGACATTACGACCCCGCCACCGGCAAGTTCACCTGCCAGGTGCCCGGACTCTACTACTTCGCCGTCCACGCCACCGTCTATCGGGCCAGCTTGCAGTTCGATCTGGTCAAGAACGGCGAGTCCATCGCCTCTTTCTTCCAGTTTTTCGGGGGGTGGCCCAAGCCAGCCTCGCTCTCGGGGGGTGCCATGGTGAGGCTGGAGCCCGAGGACCAGGTGTGGGTGCAGGTGGGCGTGGGTGATTACCCTGGCATCTATGCAAGCATCAAGACCGACAGCACCTTCTCTGGATTTCTCGTCTACTCCGACTGGCACAGCTCTCCAGTCTTCGCCTAGTGCTCGCTGGCTCCTAGAGGAGGAGGGTCCACAGTGACCCCACATCCAGGAGGGCTGGCCCCCTGCAATATTGTGAATGACTAGAGAAGTGGAGTAGGGGGTCCCTCGGTCCTGCTGCCAGCAAAGCAGCATGAGGCTGTATTTCTGCCCCAGACAGGAGCGTACTGTGCTGCAAGCGTGGGTCCCCGGCTGCTCAGTCCAGGACTCCAAGGTGGGGTGCTCTCCTCCCGGTCCTCCGCTTCCTCTTTCCTCTTCCATCCCTCCTCTCCCAGGGCCGGCCCTTTACTCAGATTCCCTCAATAAATCTAAAAAACCCTCCTACTGGCTTCAGCCTTTCATGAGATGCTGTTTCTGAGGATCGCAGCAGGGGTGCACAGGCAGAAAGGGGAATGGAACCACGAGGCACAGGATACACATTTCTAACTCAACAGATGCTTGTCCTAAGTAGTTCCTGAGATGGCCACAAGGGGCCACGCCAGCTCCAGAATGCAGCAACTGGGAATTTCTGGGGGTGGTTAGGAGAAAGGGTATTAAAATCTGCCAAAGGAATTCCAGATGGGGGTGGAGGGAAAGGGGGTCCTTTGCTCCCAGCTCAGGAAGTTTATCTAACCTCATAAAATGTTTATGCCACATTAAACAGAGACTAGAAGGAGCTAAGTTTCCCCTTGCTCAGCTCCCTGACCAGGGCTCAGGAAGGGGAGAAAGAGCCGCCCCTCCCCTCGCCGTGCGGGACACAGCCTGGGTGGGCTGAGCCACAGATTTCCTCGAGGCTCACCTCCTGTGCCACCTCCTGATCCCAGCCTGCCCTCAACCCAACCTAATACCAATAAACTCAGCTTTGTCTCTGTGCTCAGCCTCTCAACCTGAGTTCTTCAGGACCAATCCTTCCCGGTTCCAAACAGTCCCTTGCCAGGTGTGGTGGCACATCCCTGTAATCCCACCACTTGGGAGGCTGAGGCTGGTTCAAGGCCAGCCTGAACTACACAGTAAAACTGTCTCAAAAAAAACAAGTATAAACCAAATGACAGTCCCAGGCATTGTCCTCCTCGATGTAACATATAATTATGGGGAGGTGCCCCTCCTCTTGGTCATGTGAGGGCAGCTTTGATCAATGGGGCCTGGGCCCCAAGGGCACCAGATAGGCCTCAGGCGTCCTGGGCGCCAGCTCCCTGCTCCCCACCAGGTCCGTTGGCCATTCTCCAGCCCTTCAGTGACCGGCTCGGTGCCAAAAGACACAAAGACAAGCACCAGCTCCTACAGGGATCAGAGGGTAGACTGGACTCTAAGTCCCGTCCTGTAAAGGTGGACTCCAGAGTCAAGAAATTCACATTCTGCTCCACAAGCAAATAATTAGTGAGGGTGAGGGGACACGGAGACTTGGAGAAGGCTTTTCCAGAGCCGTGATGACAAGGACAAAACGGAGGGGGTAAGAGCTAACCCAGCCCTGCCTGGCACGGACTCTCCCCTTGCCACAGCACTCTCCGGAGACCACACTTCTACTGTTAAATCCAGCAGGATTCAAAGACCCTGCTGCCAGGCCTGTAACTTGACCAGCTGCCCACAGAGACACACACAGTCAGAGCTGGCAACCTAACTTTATTCATCAGAAAATGGGCAGATGGACCCCCCAGGGAGGTGTGTGCCCCTAGGCCCTGGCTCCTTCTACTTGGACCCTAGTGAAATATGCCCTCCCCAATGCCAAGGAGAGACAAAGAAAGGAATCCCACTATCTTATGTGAGGCGGGGAGTAGAAATCTGGTCAACTCTCCTAAGGCTCCCAGTGGAGGTTGGGCACCCCAGAATACATGGTCCCAAAGCCAGGTGGAGATGCGCCCTCCACCAACAGGGGTAAATGCCCAACCCCAGCTTTTTGATCAGATTGGGAGGGAGCCTTCTAAGATTATGAGAGGCAGAAGTGGCTCTACGGGCACCTGAGAGATTCTACCCTCAAACCCAGGAGAGCCGAGGGGTTCTGGCTGAACACAGAGGTTCAAGATCATTCCAAGGCCCATGAGTCGCCAAAATACCCAAATGACACTGGTGTGCTGTGGCTGCAAAAGCTGAGGCAGTGGGCAGGAGGGGGAAGGAGGCAGGGAAAGAACCTACAAACCCCCAACAGAAAAGCCAGAAGCAGAGAAGGGCCGGCCCCAGAGGCTGGCGGCTGATTGGGGCTTGGGTTGGCCGGAGGAGAGCACAGCCAGCGGTGTCAGGGCCCTTGCATAGTGACATACTCACCACCCCCAGCATTACAGGGACCCACCAGGAACAGAGAACTATGTTACCCTGGCCCCCTAGATGCAGTCTTCCAGACTGTCCCACATGCAACAAGTCCTGGATGTATGGCTTGAGGCCTGGCAAGAAGCCATGGGGGCAAGAGGGGATTCAGGACAGGACCAGAGGTGAGGTGCTGATGCTGTCCTAGCACAGGTGCCTGCATGGAGCATGGAGGGTGGCGGGCAGGGAGAGCATCTTCAGAGGTAGAC